AATGAACAAAATATAATTTATAAAAGTATATTAGAAGGTGAGTTGCCAAGATCACCAACATTAGTAGAAGAAGAAACAAATCAATATCTAATAGATAACCCCAGCTTTAATAGTAGTAATATTAGCATAAACACAAACATTAACTGTGATAATATTAATGAAATGGATATAAGAAATTATTTGCAATATATTGCAGCAATGATAATAGGCAAGCCATTAAAAGATTTAGATGATCACGAAGAATCTTTATTTAATATTGGAATGAATGAACTCCAATGTAATTTATTTCTTAGGAAAATTAATAATATTTTACCAACATTTACAAAAATAAACAATTTAAATTTTATTCAAGAACATAATTCAATTGATTTAATTACAAAAGTTATAAATGGTGCTTTAAATAATAGAAAATCATTAAAAAATACTATTGAAGGGGATAGGGATGACAGGAAGAAAAATGATGCAAATGATTTAAATCAACAACAACATGATTTAGAGGGTTTGGTTGATAAATACACATTATATATAAAAGAAAATTATCAACAATCAATTGAAACTACTCGACCAAATTTAAAATCATCAACAATAAAAAAACGAATTTATTTATTAACTGGTGCAACAAGTTTTTTAGGTGTACACATTTTATATGATCTATTAACAAATAATGCTACAAATGATTCAGAGATTTATTGTTTGATCAAACGTAAAAAAAAAGCACATAGTCCAAAGGCATCATTAAAACACGCTTTTCTACTTAATGGCTTGGATATTGACTATTGTTAATGGTTTGTGTAGATGTACAAGTTCTTGAGAAGTTGAGAGCAATGTTGATGTGCCAGAATAGCAATGGCATTTGTTGAATAAATTTGTAGTGTAGCCACACTTGAATGAATACACGATGAGTTGATACACCATGCACTTTGTCACTAGCATTCTTGCCATTGATAATTCTATGTGATTATGCAGGCCTAGTCTGTTGGAAATACCATACACAAGTTTGTGAGGATTGGTATTCATTAGTCATTTCAACAGTGAAATATCTTCTATGCTGCTCCCTAGTGATCTCTTTTTCTAGATCTTCTGATTTTTTTAATCCTTGGTTCCAAATTTGTCATGTTCATTTGTTACAATTTCATTCCAAATATTATTAGCACTGCAAATCCATTTCAGCAAAATTGCTTATATCGTTCTTCCATCGTTCCTCTTGGAATTTGAGATCGTGTTGCTACACTTTCTTTGGTTCTATCATATATTTATTTATATAGGTTTGTTTTTACCAAACCTTTTCTTTCCCACAAGTTTAATGGTTGCAGTTAGGGTATTGTTGGTCTCGGTCTTAAATACTGGTCTTTTTATTTTATTTTATTTTTGGAGGAACAAATACCAGTTAAAGACTGGTTTAATAGTATTTTGAATGCGAATTACATATTATTGTATAAAAATAATAAATAACTTTGGAATATAAATTGCGCGCGTAGGTTTTGTCTCTTTATTTACAAA